ACATATGTATATGATACATCTATTCAAACTAATACATTGAGAAGACTCATTGAATGGCATTCCTATTCGTAGAATCGCAATGAGTTTCGATCCCGGAATATTTTCTCTCCTCTTTAATCGAAACCTCTTCCATTTTCTCTGATGGTAACCGTTGAAGCCAAGTCTACATTTGTCTGCACTACACTACAGCTGTTACTCTAAGGATTACTTTYAAATGTTAACTTGTTTTGTGTCTTATTTAAATTGATTGAGCTACACAAATACACAAACTGCTAAAACATTGGAAAATTTATTAGTCATGTCAGGTAAAAAGTGGATAAAATATAATCTTATAATGTATCACTCAATCACATATGAATCTTTGATAAAACTAAGGATTTCTTCATATGATCACTGGACGTTTTAYGGATTTTTTTATAGATAAGTTCTTATTCATTCGAATGCGTAAACGTCTTCWCCAACAAATTCGTAGCTATCGCCTGGCGAGAGACACTTAGTAGTGCTGCGTAGATTTCTCAATGTTTTTCTTTCATTCACTGTAGACTTGGATCTTGTTTTCCTTGAGGACTGTGGCGTTGATGCACGAAATTTATCTCGATGAAATATCCAAGAAGGGTTAAGGCTTTGATTAGTTGGAGAAGAAAGGATCTTTTGGTGAAGTGGTGTAGAAGTATGTTGCTTTTGATTGCATGACCTACGTTTATCACTCATCTTGGTGTAATTGTTTGATAGTGTGGAATCTTTGCTTGYTCCCGTTCCTTCTACACTCATGGACTGTTTCTTCATTTGTTTTTCGATTCTTCTCATTTTCACACGTTCTTCGATAGACATCAGAACATTAGGTTCTAGCAACCCTGTATCACTGGCAACTGTACTTTCCTTTGACACTGGTTCTTTGGGTTTGCCAGTAATTTTGGAAGGCTTGGCATCAGTTGGTGTCTGATTATTGAGCGTACCGGGAAAGAGTTCTGTTTTGCTTTTCTTGGGCTGATTCTCCTCATTAACAATCTTCCAATCATTGGATTCCAATCGTTTCAACCGGACGACAGTATCCAATTCATGACTTACAGTATCAAAGTCGTGACCATCTGATAAAGCTTTGTTTCTTGTCTTTTTCGACCTGCTCGTCAAGTTCTTCTGGTAAATATGTTCTTTTGCAATTGATAAAGWGTTGGATTTCTCTAAATTGCCTGGATTTTCTTTTGATAACAGATTCTYCTCGAGCTCACCACAGCACACGGTTCTTCTCCTTTTGGATGGCATTTGGTGTTCCATTTCATACTTTCTTTTGTTGTACAGGGTGTCTATACGTAGCGGAGAGGACAGCAAATGGTCATCTTCGTTGCCATCAGTACTGTCAGCTACAGTGCTAAGTGTATCATCGTCATCATCTTCAAAGACGTCATCATCGCCATCATCCTGGTTATCTGTTTTAGAACTAAGTATTATCTTGATTCCGTGAGGGGAACGTTTCTTCTTTTCTGATTTAGGTTTTGAGCTACATTCATCGCGTTCACTTTCTTCCACCAGGGTGCTRTCTTGACTTGAAGTGAAATAGTTGACAATCTCTTTAATGCGGTAYGATAACTCGTGCTCTGAGGAAAACATCTCAAATTGAGGAATATCAAATCCTTCAAATTCAACATTGTCGTCATCATCTGAGTCGAATAATGAAGTGTAAGTTTCATCAAGTCCTTTGCGTTCCTGCTGCTGCAATAAATCAATCTGATCATGTTCCTCCGTATTCTGAACGGCACCTTTTTTGCCATTATCTGATGACTTGTAGTCATTCTCATTTTCAGTGCTAATTACGTCTTTGCGCTTTGGTCTGTTGCGTTTCCCTCGGCATCGTTTACGAGAGCTCCTWCTTTTTGGTGTAGAAGGGTCTGAAATGGAAGACTTCTTGAATGACGTCCCTGTAATGGGTCCACTTTTTGGGCTTGTATTTACTTGGGACGGGATTACAGACGAATAATTTTTTTCGGTGTTTTCACAGGTTATTGCATTGTCCATCTTTGGCTGTCGCAGGGAGTGCATTGGTTGAGGTAAGATAGAATCTGTACTAGAAGTATCTAAAACTGTATCTTTATGCTTCCTCTTTCGTCTCGGATGCACAACATCCTCATCAGAGAGCGTCTCTGTGCTGTCCGATTTCTTGCTTGGAGTCGATGCCTTGCTCCTCAGGACAGGTTTGCTGTGCTCTTGTTTTACTTCATGATGTACTGCCTTTTTGTATGCGCGCAGTCTTKTGAACGCTTTAGAAGTAGCCTTTTGCACATCACCATCCTTCACACTTTCATTTACCGTTCGATCTGTTTTAACCCAGGAATTACTGCTGCCTGGTGAAGATACAGGCTTATCATGATTGTGAATAGTCTTTTTCTCACTTTCATTATTGATTACATTACGTGGCGAGGACGAACTACGCGTCACTCGTTTCATCTCGCCATCTGTATCTTTTGCTTCAATATTCTTTGGCGTTGTGTCTTTGGTTTGAGTACAATGACTGAGCTCTACTGTCATATTTTTGACTGTGCTATTTGGGATGAGGACCACTCCAATCTTACTGTTTTCGTCAACATCTTTTGTTGGTGTTCGAAAGGTGTTCTCAGCTTTGTTGCTAAAAATTAAGGTGGGTTAGTTCTGTGTTACTAAAATCACTCATCGTAAAATAATCAATAAATAAARCCTATTGTCCTTATTCTTGATTTTTGCAATCATACAGACAGTTTCCATAATGAATGATTATAAGCCTGTTGACTCTTAGAGTCATAATTTGATTGCACCAAAGGACCGTGTAGCATTTTGCTTTTAGCAAAATACAAAAAAATATTGAAGATACACCTTTGATACAAATAACAAAAAAGTTAACCCTAACTTACCTTGCACTATACTTTAGTTTGATTTTCTCGAGGAAAACACTTAAACTTGGTCCTTGAGCTATGAGATTGTCAAGGCTCTCATAGTTGGTGTTATTCCGTGCAAAGGACTGATGATAATCACTTTTCAAATGCTTAAAAAGACAAAACAATAGATAAAGGCCCATGATCCTAGCATAGGTCTCATGTTTAACATCTCACCATTGACCAATTCAACTGACTCCAGTGAAACATTTACTGGAGTTAGTCCTTTACTTCATATGTATTCATTATGATATAACAAACATCCTTTGTACAGTGATTTGTGCATGATCAGTTTGTCTCAATAATGTCAAAACTTATCTTTACAACCATTTCTCTAAAAATCATAAAGGTTTGTTTCAAATTAGTGTTGTGGTTTTAAGTTGTTGAAAACACTCAACATTGAGCAAGTAGTCTGTGAATATCTTAAAAAACTTGCTTTTCAAAAAAAAATATTATAGTTTGGAATCACATTAAATTGCCTTTGCCTAGTAGACTTTCATCATCCATTTTCATTGTACAATGTTCAATGTTTTAATTTTAAAGAGTTGATAATTSAGAAGTAAAAACTTAATAACTCGATTCTTACCATGTCCAAGGCATCGTAATGTAAACAACAGCATTCACAGTAACCATGCTTAGCTTGTTGTTTTTTTGCATCTTGCGGTTGCCCTTTGGACCTTTGAGGATAGAAAACAAGAATATGAAAGACACTTATCAATCAAATAAATGAATAAGCCAGAGGTATAGAGATTTATCAAGCTATGTCAATGAAATAGTTCATTACAGTTTCCCAGAAAAAGTCTCATGATTTCTGAGGCTTTGAACATTCATGGTAAAATGGATAGCTATTGTTAATCATCCGGTGAATAAACATTTGAACAAGYGATCATTAGGTAATGGAGGTACCTTTGTTAGCTTTACTTTCTATTCACTACATTTTTTTTATAATCTACACCTTTCTCTTTCAAACATTGATCAAACATTTGTTAAATAGCATCAAGTGGCAGCAGTTATAATAATTTCAGATCAGCACATACTGTACACCTTGTTTAAAATATGGTCCAAATAGAGATGTTATGAGCCCATACCTTTTTTTTGTTTCCTGGTTTTGTCTTTTTCTAGGAGTGTCAAAAGGACAAGTACCAACAGGAGATTCAAAGTCTGGGAAAGGCCACTGCTTAAATTCTTTAACTAGAGGTCTATAATTGTGACTCTGGTCTTCAACTTTTATAAATGGAGCCTGTAATTTTCTAATTTTTACTCTGAGTTGCTTCTTGCCATTTCCCATCAATTCCTTGATAGAAGGCTGTTTTTCAACTTTTCTAGGACCATAGTCTGCCAGCTTTTCTAGAGCTTTTTCCAAATATATGACACACACACCCCAAGTTCTAGCATTGGTTAGAATATTGCAGGTTCCATATCTGTTTTTCAAGGTAGCTTGGGCTTGCTTCATTATGGCTTTTCCTCTAGTGTCGTGTTTAGATGTTGATTGAGGGTCAACACYTTGTGGAGAATCACCACTGAGTGGTGAGGGCCAAGCTCCTTTCATTGATGAACTAAAATGAATCATACAACTGATTTTTCTTTCTTTTTGTCAATTGCACCAAGGATCCATGTCAAAGGCCAACAAAACCACAGGCAGACCACTGAGATTTATCATGTTCAAAATAAACATTTTTTGCAGTATTTGGAAGCACCTTTTTGAAAATTTGTCTGATTCTTAAATTCACAAGACAAAACCTCTTTTAAGAGTTTTTAAAAAATCTATGTAGATTACTATAGATGGTAGTACAAAGGATGTTTCATTATAGCCTTCTTACCATCATTTTTTTCATAAACTCTTATAGCCTGAAAATAAAGCTTTTCAATCTGACTTTTGCATCTGCCAATCAGAATAATATCATCAAAGGTCCTATATATTTACAACAACTATGACAAGGTTATGAATATTTATGCCTATATCTTGAGCTGAAATTGTTACCTTTTATTTTTAGTAGTAGGGAATGGGCTAGGAATAGACAAGCCAGGACTTGGGGTTGAGTTACTAGTTGGTGACAGTCTGGTGTCAGCATCCTTGTTATTTGTTATCAAATAATGAATATCTTTACTCAGAAATTCTTCAACCTTCTATAAAGACAACAATAATCATTATTTTATGTTAATGACTATCAAGTCAGCAAACAGTTTTTACAAGTTAAGCCCCGTCTATACAAGCAATTTTTATGTGGCAATTTTATGTGACAATTTTTAATTTGCCCATGTAGATGAGCAAAATTGGCCAATTTTTATGTGACAACTGTAGTTGCTGAAAAGCTGGCACGCTAGTTTTTATGTGACAACTTAAAATTGTYACATATCGAAAATTGCTCATGTGGACGAGCATCACATAAAATGTGGCAATTATTTTGACAYAACAATGAATCCAAGTCTCAACATTTTGCACACCAACCAAGATGGCAACGCAGATTCGACAGAAAGAATAGTATTATTGCTGTTGTAAGTGGTAAAAACCAACCAAATTTGTTTTGTTTGTTGACAACTCCACTGAGCAAAATCACACTTGGCGCAAATCTTCAACAATTTTATTATTTGCTGCCTGTCCACACRCACAAATAAAAATTGTCACATATAGTTGTAACATAAAAATTGCTCGTGTAGACAGGTCTTCAGTGTACAGTATCATTAATTCCACAAAGGGATTACATGTACGAAAATGATGTGTGGATTTGCAGTATCATGATAATGGTCATTGATCAAAAAATGTCATCAAGACTTGGGTGATTCTATDGAAGCCCAAGTAACCACAGAGCTCATCGCAAATAACTAATACTTACCCCTCCAAGTTCTTGTATTTGTGCAGTTAGACTAGACACTTTTTTGTATCCATTGAGGTCAAGATAGAACCTCTTTCCTTTCAAAGGTTGTTCAACAAACTCAAGTCGTCGCTTCCCTTTTGGGGCATTTTCTGGAAACATTTAAACAAGCATCATTTGATGTAACCAGATAATAGTCTAATATGGCCTATAATAACACAATTTTGCTGTAAACGATATCAACTGACGTAAGATCGATTACTAGTATGCATATTATTAAACTATAAGACAAAAATGATATATATCTAAGGCACCATCCCTATTATACTCACTCGATTTTTTAGATAAGTCGTTCACGGATGGTGTTTTTGATCGAAGTCCACCTCTTCGCATTACACTGTCTTGAGGAATCGGAACTGTAGAACGTCGAGCTGCAGTCGCCATGTTTACAGAACCAAGATTTCTTGTTTAGTAGGTCTGATTTTCAGGCTGTGATATTTCATTCATAATGAATAATATCTTAGTTAATACACAAATGCTTTCAGAGAGGTGCRAATCGAATCTAAAGCACATACCACGAGATAATTCAGCTGTGTTCGTGCATACACATTGTTCTCCCTGAAAAATTCTCAGCGTCTTGTTGGATTTGCGCGGGAAATCCCAGCATTCCTTGTATCGGCAAAGATATCGCGGGCTCATTATTTAGGCCACAGCACCGGTAAATTTGAATCACAATCTTCACTTGTAAAGGCACTTACTATGAGACAAGAAAGGTAAGACACAGAATTGGAAAGAAGTGAGAAATGATCAATAATTTACTGAATAACTGACTACCGTTTTATTATCTGGACACAGACTGTTTCTGTCAAATGTTAACTTAGCAGAGATAAAAAATAGCTTAAATGCCTTAACCCTTTTTCATCCCCTTTGAAGGCATAGCTTTTGATTTTGTATTCATTTAGAAAACATTGTTAATTGATTTTCATATTCTATAATGTTCAACTTGCCATTCATGACTATAACTTAAGGCTGGCGTAAACATTTACTTCAACATTCACATAGATAGTTTTCAATCATTCCCATGAGATACAAAAGATAAAAGACCAGCGGCCATGTTGGAGAAATGAACAATAGATGAGAAATCCTTTGTTGAAGTTCCCCCAAGATGGCCACTGTGACGTAACTTGAAAACAAAGAATTCAATTGATTTTGTTGAACAGCAAAGCTGAATGCAGTTGTGTGGGGCTTTGAACAAGTTGAATTATTGGTTCAATGTCAAATCAGTTTTAAAACTTTCAAATTTTGCTTCAACATTTCTTTTGTACTCAAAAATTCTTTTGTACTCAAAAATGTTGAATGATATTGAAACTGTTTGTGTGGCCATTTCATCAGTTTAGTAGAAAGGCATCCTCAGCATTTGCTGTATTTGCTACATGGTAGAGCTATATGTTTGTTGTTAAGACCCTGCAATCACTTTCAACATTTGCTTCAGCATTCATATTTGTTAAATTTTGTTGAGCAGCACTGTTGAAAGCATTTGTTCTCCTATCTTTCAAAATTGCTGAATATAATTGTATTAAACAAATGTTGCGAGACATTAACATACAATAATTTACATATTCTACTTTGGTCCACTACATTGGTCCACTAGCATTCTGGTACTCAGACCCTTCACAGTATCCCAATGGAAAATTGAAGCATGGTTTATACAGAGGACTCTCTATTAACTATGATTGAAGGCTCTGGTTAGATGAATGAGTCTTTGATTGGTTCAAAAATTACCATGCTCCATCAGTATGCATATATCATATGACCTTGATTTTGGGTCTTCTGGTGTCGTCTCCAACAAGAGCCTTTAACTTTCCATTGGGAAACTGWCAAGGATCTGGGTACAAGAATGGCTTATCAGTAGTCCAGTTATATAAGACTTATACTAACTTTAGACAATACTTCTCTCTAAATATTTTTTTGTTGATTGTAAAATAATCAGCATTCTTATAAAGGACATCAAAGCCTAATTAAGGTTGTACGTTTTTTTTACTCAATGATACAAACAAGTGTCTGAAGACAAATCATACTTTCATACACAACTTTGACAACAATCATAAGCTCTTAACAGAAAAAGTGTTGATGGCCAAAGGCTTATAAAATCTACCATCTATGTGTTTATATGATAGTGTGCTAGCCATCTGATAACTTAAACATATAACTTAATATTGATGAATAAATATAAAGCAATCTAATTTCTGTAACTACAATTATATTCAATTATCTAACTTTAAGTAACTATAAAACTGCAAAACTAGGCCAGACAATAATAGCTTTGTCAACTACTAATCTTTTTTGTTGTGATTAGCTAATCCTGAAAATGTTTTCCATTAAAAAATGTCCGTCAAAAATAATGGCATCTAGTAAATAAAAATTAGCTGTATGAATGTTTAAAATGCATGTTCATGAAATTAAATTTGTCCTTTATGGAAATTTATAAAACAAAACTTAACACTAAAGTCTATAATAACAGTGCTGGTACTGACATACATTTTTGTCATCTGCAGCCAAATTTATGGCCATSTGCAACCAGTTATTATTATAGAAGTCATAACTTTGATCCTAACAACCTTTGTTCTTTCTTATTGTACAAGCATGATTGCTTCACTAACTTGTACTTTCCTTTAATCATACAGTTATGGAACAGTCCAGTCATATCAAACAGGCTAATCATTCATTAAAAATTATAATATAAATATATATTCACTTCTGAAACTCTAGAAAAACGCAGGACAAGTATGTTCTATGATACAGTTTCTGCAGTGTTCTCTGATGTATGTAAAGGTGTCATAACTCAAATTGCATTCTTGCACATTGAAATATTGTAGGTTGCAGCACTGTGTGGCAATACTTCTGATCCCTTCATCTGTCAACTTAATGCAGCCTCGAATGCTAAGTTTCTTCAACTGTGGGCAGTGAATTCCAATTGTATGAAGGACATTGTCTGTGATGTTGCACTTTCCAATGTCAATAGATCTCAACTTTAAACAATTCTGAACCACATATGCAATGCCAATGTCAGTAACAGCATCACATCCACGAATATTCAAGTACTTTAACCGAACACAGTGCCGTCCAATGTATTTAATACCTGTATCACTGACAGGGCACTTGGCTACACTCAAGTATCGCAGCCCAGGAGTATTTTTGGCAATCTCCTTGAGACTGAAATCTCTAATCTTAAAACAGTCACTGGTGCTGAGTTCCTTTAAGTGATGACAGTGGCTTGCAATATGTTTAATTCCAACATCTGTTATTCTGCTGCATCTTCTCAAATACAAAGTTTCCAACATTCTGCATGTTAAGCCTAATGTTCTCAGACCAAAATCATCAAATGCAACACAATCACTCAAATCTAACTGAAGCAGCTTTAAATATGTCGCATTGTTTTCTAGTGAAAACCCATTTGCATTTGGCATTGATAAGCTGTTAACACAGGTACAACCACTTAAATTCAGATGTGACAAACTATGGCAATTCAGTAATAAATCTTGAAGTCCTCTGCTTGTGATACAACAGCATCCATCCACCTCTAGCTTTTCAAGATCAATACAGTATCTTGCAATAGATCCCAGAGCTTTATCAGAGAGAAGTTCACATCCATTAAGCCTGATGTGGTGGACAGTTAAACAGTATCCTTGTGTGCCTTCAGCTAGTGTTCCTAACAAGTTTCGTAGAACTCTATTGATATTACTTTCTTTGTAATTCACAATTTCAATTTTATTCCAGAGAATGGGATCCCAAGCTAAACTTTGCCACCTCCTACAAACACCTGATGTCTTGCACAGTTCTAATGTGTTCAGATAAGATAATATTTTTAATAAAATACCATCCTGAAGACTGTTTATATGAACAAAGTTAGGATGTGAAAGAGGTGTAACTGATGACATCCCTTTGCCAAAGATACTTTGATCACTGATGGTTGTGGAGTCACTATCATAACGAGCATGAACTCCACTATTAGAATGGATTTCTTTGAATCTCTCATAATCTTGAAGTCTCTGTCTCAAGTGAGCCTGTAGAGAATTTTGTCTGGTGATCTTCCTACCACTCTCTATAGAGCTGTCTGGATTGTTTACACTAGAATCTGCAATGTAGCCTAATGCTGAATCAGGAGACTCATACCCTTGAGGAACCTGAATATCATCTTGTGAGTGAAATGAATGAGGCAGTTTTTGTGCCACAAAGTTGTTACGACTATCTTTATTTGATATTGAAGACATACTTTGGAGACTGTCATCATCCATACCACTCATATGAGAATTATCATGCATGTCTCTACTTGCATTTCTTGATGTCATTGGCTGATTTACTACATATTTCCTAGCAGATGTCACACCTGGAGCAAGTCTTCCCTTTGAATGGTTATCATTATTCTTGTCATTATCTACAACTGTTTTGGACTTTCGCTTCAGTGAAAAAGCTCCAAAATCATCAATGAAATCATTTGATTTAGTTTGTGTTAAGCCTACTTCAGTGTTATGTAAACTACTCATGCTTTTAGAATGTGAAGACTTTGTTTGCTCTATCGTAGTTGTATTATGCTGCTTAGAATGTTGACGAGGCTTTACATATCTTTGTGAATTTGATTTATCTGTCATGTCTTCAATTGAAGGGTATGATTGACGCTTCTCAATAACTTCTTGTTTGCTTGTCACATTAAGCAGTTTACCATGGTACTGAGTTTGTGACAAAAAATCTGGAACTTGCAGCTCTGACTTAGGAATAAGTAGCCCTCTATTTACGGATGTTCCCTCTTGCACTATAACTGGATCTGGATCACGAAGATGTCTTTGAAAAACTGGGCTCTTTCTCACCTCTTGTTTTTCTTGTAAAAAATCAGGAATATCAAATTCAACTTTAGAATGATGAGCGTTTCTTTTGTTAGGATGATGGTCTAATCCATTTTTGCTGATATTGTGTTTTGATTCTGGATACTTTCCTGATCTTGGGCTCTTGGTACTCACAGGAGGTACTGAAATGAAAATAAGGAAATGTATAAAAAATGATGTGTAAAAGCCAATCTCCATCAAGCGTATGGAAGTTTAGGTATGAATAGGTTGAAATGAAAAAAAGCCATTTTCCTATCATCCAGTTCATCATTCCCTTCAACTGTGCTCATGTATCCCTTGGGCCAGGGCTGCTAGTTTACACTTATTCCTGTTGAATCAATTGATTTGATCTTATTCACTTATGAAAGGACTGTCTTGCATATAACGTTAAATAAAGTAAACTGTATAACAAGCACGATGTTTGCCATTTGATTACTTCACAGATCAACGTGGAATGATGATGATTATATATTACTTAATCATGCAACTACTCAGCGTTCATCCAATTCATCGCTGAAAGATAGCTTTTCTTGCGATAACGAAGATTCACAAATTTAATTGAAGTTAAGCTTGTGTATCATTCGTAAGACCGATCAGGGATTTTGTGATTCGAAAATCAGGCTTTTATTTAAAAATAAGCCTGTAAACATTGGTTGGTAAATACGGATTTGCTTTGTAAACAGAACATAAAATTGTCTGTCACTTTTGTACCTTTACTCTTCCTATAAACGGTTTACACAGTTCTACTCCCCGTTGTTTCTACAGCTATCATTTTCGTAGGAGAGTATAATAATCCACTTTTATATCCAATGGTAGAAGCTAGCACCGTACATCGCTAGTCTAGCTTGTCCAAACAACAGTCCTCGAAGATCTCAAGTTGTGTGTACTTTAGGCTTTGGTCATGACTGTTTCTAATATTTTTGTTTGTAGTTGAGATAATCTATGGCTATCTTCTGGGTACGTTGGTTGCCCTTTTAGCTAAAGCACAGCAGGAACGTAAACTATAACTACAATCGAAAATAATAACGACGATGTCGACACGCGCTGTTATGTATGTCCCCTTGGTTTTTAAAGCAACAAATAAACGTTTCCTTCAAAAACGGTCTTCTTAAATATGTGGAAATAATAAAAAAATTAACAGAAAGTGACTAGGGTTCATGTAAATGTGTTTTAGTATCAGTTTTCAAACGTTGCAGTTGCATAGCATTTCTATTGTCATGCATGCATGGAGACGGTCTATGCCGAACGACGAGCCAACAGGTACAAATTTACTCACCGGACGAAGGTCTTCCTTGCGAGTTGCCCATTTACACGAGTTTATTTTACTTTCATCCTGTGATTGGATTACACTGCAAATAACAAGAAGATCACTCTAAAAAACTTATTCCCGAGGAATACAATCGATCGACCAAATACGTCACATACTGTTAACGGAAAACAATTAGCCAATTTGAATATTAATGACCTATTTGAGATATGTTTGGACATACTGTGTCCAGGAAAAAATATTATTAAAATTTATAATCAAGATGTTCATGGGTAATTTTGAAACTTAACTTTTAATATGCTTTGACACTTTTGTGAAACCTCACTCGTGCAATTAAAAATTAACTATTTTTGGCTTCTGTTTCATATTTGGCAAACTTTTCATTATATTTTTTTTTCTTTTATTTGATATTACTTATTTAATTATTTTCCTTACTAGTATTGTATTAGCTGCACATGGACGTTTTTCTATTAATTTTTGCATTCAGGCAGTCTATTAGCCCTGTGAAACTTTATGTACATAATTTCACAATAATCGAAAATTGGACAAATGTCACAATCCTCGCGTGTTCGCAAAGGGGACATATCTAGCTGTACTTCTTTACTTTTCCTTATTTTTTGTTTTTCTAAAGAATACAACAAACTTCAASAYTAGCTTGTTCCTTGCGAGTCACGGGATCGTCAATCTCCCGGGCGACCAGAAACCCACATTCTGTACAAMATTTTATCGCGGGTTTCCTGTGCTCTACCAGAATGCAATTCGGGCTTGTATCTCTTCGATATAGCAGGCAAGGGACAAGTAGATGTGAATTTGTTTATGTTTAGGTATTTTCTAAAACTTCTTCTCCATGAAGGAGAGCTTAAGCCACAAATTGTTGTTATTAGGGAGCTCAAAAAACAGCAAATTAGGAAAGCAAATAACTGCTGGGCTTTAAAGCGATTTCTAGATTTCTTCTTCAAACCCAACATGGAAGGKGTTGTTGGCAAGATTTCTTCAAATGAATTCAAACGTATCTTGACTCCAGAACTAATGACGGTGTCGTCTGTATTTAAACAAGAAGGCTATGACTTGAGAATTGTTGGCGGAGCTGTTAGAGATTTACTTTGTGGAAGGGCTCCTAAAGATATTGACCTGTCTACTACTGCTACTCCCAATGAAATGATAGAACTTTTCAACAAAAACCAAATTCGTTACATAGAAACAGGTCTTCAGCATGGAACTCTAACAGCACATATAGATAAGAAGGATTTTGAAATTACAACATTGAGGATTGATGTGGAAACAGATGGCCGTCATGCCAAGGTCCAGTATACTAATGATTGGAAATTAGATGCAGAACGCAGAGATCTTACTTTCAATGCAATGAGCTTGGAGCTAAATGGAACGTTGTATGACTACTTCAATGGTAAGAAAGACCTATTGGAACATAGAGTAAGGTTTGTTGGCAATGCAAAGTCAAGAATACAAGAAGATTATCTCAGAATTTTAAGATACTTCAGATTTTATGGAAGAATAGCTACCTGTTCAGATCAGCATGATGAAGAAACATTGGAAATTATTAAAGATAATGCAGAAGGACTGAAAATGATTGCTGTAGAGCGTATTTGGATAGAATTAGCCAAAATACTAACAGGACATCATGCTCCTAGTTTACTACAACAAATCTACAACCTCGGTATTGCTGATTATATTAGTAAGTATTTTTTAGAATGTGATAGCCCTTTGATACAACTTGATATGTAAATGTACTTCCAATAGCTTTTCCTATTGAAAGATGGAATTATTTTTTTTAAGAGGATTGATTCATTAAAATGACATGGATATCATATATTTTTGTTAATCACACAATTGATGTTCTGAGTTTATTTAACATTTCCTATCCTATGTACTAACATATAAAACTGTTTTTAGGACTTCCTCCATATAGTGAAAGCAATGTGCAAGAATTTTCTCGTGTCTGGAATGAATGCAAGATCTACAAGCTTCAGCCAGTCAGTTTGCTATGTTCTTTGGTAGACACTACAAATGAAGCCGAAAGTTTAGCCAGAAAATTAAAATTATCAAATGCTGAAAGGAATCTCGGGAGGTTTATAACAGAATACAGGAAACCCAGAAGCCATGAATATGCATTGAAACCATACCAGGACATGCTAGTGTCATGCCCCAGCTCAACATCTAAAGAAACATTACGTAGTCAAATTGTTGAGTTATTGCATTACCAAGGACGTCATCAACTTGCTGAGGACATTTCAGGATGGATTATCCCTCAATTTCCTTTAACTGGTTATCATTTGAAAAAACATGGATTGAAACCAGGCCCTGAATTTGGGAAGACACTAGGACAATTAAAGCAGATTTGGAAAGACAGTTACTATGTAGCTAATGAGCAAGATTTATTGGATAGAATCAAGCATATTCTAAAGTGATTTTAACTTCCAAATCGAAAAGATCTTTTKTGCTCAAGTTCATATTGTATACAGTACTTACCTGCTTATAAGAACCCATTTTTTTCAAAATTTAACCTAAACAGGTTCTTATGTGAATGGTGCTCAGTGGAATTTTAGGCAACAAGGGTTCTTAAATTGCACGTTCAGTTTCGGAAATATATTATACACCTGTTTTAATTCATCACTGAAGACAGGGCTTATCCCTTTTGAAATGGAAATTTACAAGGTTTTCAAACATTATTTATAACCAAATTGGATGTGTATACATATTCAAGTTCACTACTTTTGGGTCATGTATTTTTGCATGTAGATTTTTTTAGGTTAATTTCTATAAGATCATGTTTCAAATTTTAGGCTAAATAACCCCGGGTAATGGGAGTACTCTTATATATTTGCTATACGTGGACATGCCACTGGTCAGGGTATGGTTTTTGGCCTTGCTGTCTTAAACAAGGTATACATTTCACCCGAAAATTGTCTTAAACAGGCTCTACAATTTAGATAAAAGACCGATATAATTTTTTTCTGTGTCTTGGACAGGGTAATAATTTCATAAGAAATACCGTAGAAAAAGTAGAAATACCGTTTCACTGTAACAGGAATAACGTGTTATCAAAAACTCTTATTGTCTTTGATGGATGTCAGTATAATTGCAGTTTTGRTGGTTGTGGCGTAGATAGCTATTCCTTATTTTTCCGATTTTTCGTGAACAGGGTATGGATTTTTGCTTTCTAGTGTCTTAAACAGGGTCAGGGATTTAGACCACTGAGGGCACGTACCTATCCATAACAGGGTTGAGTAACCCCCTCCCGCCTGGGCTAAATAGGTTCTTATGTAAATGGATGTAAATTGATATTTTAGACTAACAGGTTCTAAAATTGCAGGTTCTTATAAGGGAGTAAGAACTGTAGTTTAAAACACAATGGAGATTGTTCAATCAGGTATTAAAGATTCAAGCTGAAGGCAAGAATCTTTTAAAAGGAGGTCACTTTCTAATCGTGGAGAAGGTCACTTTATTCAGTGCAGCCAAACTTTTGACACTGCAGTTCTACTCGTAAAATTTGCTTTCATGATCTGACCCTGTGTAGCCTGACTACATATTTTTAATATTGTAACTCTGCCTCAATTAATTTAAAAAGCAAAGTAAATGAAAGGTTTCTTTTGAGTTTTTGTTTGAAATTAAAATCAGTGTTTTGCTGTTATGTTTGCTTTTTTTGATTTCTAGAAAAAACTGTGCGATTGACTTAAGTTTTGCCTTTGCATGATCAGATCATTTACATCACACCACTATTAAACGAAACGCAGGTGATATATGATGCATTGTAGGGAGCATGGTACTAGTGACGTCACGACAGGAAGGGAAAGGGGCGGTTGCTTGTTGACCAAGAGTTGGTTTCTTCGCTCTGACAGGGTACAAAAGTGGGAAAATACTGCAATATAACCTTCGAATTTTAAGATTTGAGGTGCCGAGCAGTCTTTCCAACATGTCAAAGACGAAAGAAAAACAGTTAGGTCTTCATAAAGTTATAATGGTTGGGAGTGGTGGCGTTGGTAAATCGGCCTTGACTTTGCAGTTCATGTACGAAGAGGTAACTTAAGTAACAACCTATATGAATTGAATTCATCTGTTTTGCCAAATGTAACAAAAACAAAATTTGTGTAGCTTTTATCCTGAAATCTGTAGTTTTTAAATGTTCTATTTAGCTTTTGAAGGGTGTTAAAGTGATGCAAGTTATAAGTTGCAGTTTGACCTGGAATCAACCCAACCCCAAAATTCTAAAGCAAGACTATGGCAGTGATTATATGTTTAACTTATGCCTATATTTCTAGTTTGTAGAGGACTACGAACCAACAAAGGCAGACAGCTATCGTAAAAAGGTGATCTTAGACGGAGATGAATGTCAAATTGATATTTTAGATACCGCAGGACAAGAGGACTATGCTGCAATTCGAGACAACTACTTTCGAAGCGGTGAAGGATTTCTTTGTGTCTTCTCAATAACCGAGCAAGAATCATTTGCTGCCACCACAGAATTTCGAGAACAAATTCTCCGAGTAAAATCAGGGAACGATAGCATACCATTCCTTTTAGTGGGAAACAAAGCAGATTTAACAGACAAACGCCAAGTTACAAGCGAGGAGGCGCTTGAAAAAGCTCAGGAATGGAAAGTACCTTATGTGGAAACTTCAGCAAAAACTCGAGCAAACGTTGACAAAGTGTTTTTTGATTTGATGAGAGAAATTAAATCAAGAAAGATGGACGATGGTTCAAAGGATGCTGGGAAGAGAAAGAAGAAGAAGGGGAAGAAATGTGTGATATTGTGAAACAAAAAGTCTGAGTGGGATTCGCATTTAGAAATTTTTTACACTATAGTCTACCCTCAAATGAAAAAAAATTCTCATTTGGAAAATAGCACAAGTATCTACAAATTCTAGTTTTTTATTTAAGCTCCATTATTAATTCTAGTAAACAATGCACAAAAATTGAGTAGGTTAGCTCAATGAATTTTGCAATGTATATTTTATGCTGTTTTAATGTTCACTTAGGTGGATCATCTGCAAAATGGCAAACTGGTTATTCGATGTTAGACTCATAACTTTGGCTTCTTTCAAGCAATTTGACTAAAAGCTGACCTACCTCTAAAGGGATTATTTACCTATACTATGATATATTTGGATTACTTTTTCTGCAAGTAATTAGTTATTTATGTACTTATTAACTAATGCCATGTTATCACAAAAACTTGATTTTTCAGAAAATTGGTCCATTTTATATTAAAAATTTTAGGATCTTTTTATATGAAACACAATCTGGGCAAGCTTTAAATCAAATAACCAATTTGACATTTTGCAGATGATGATTCACTTTAAAAACAACTCATGAAAATTCTTTATGTAATAATATAGCCATTATCAAATGAGCAAGAAAGAAAAAGGGATGACATTGGCAAATGTTATTTAAACTTTACATAGACACAGGTAGCCCAACAACATAATTGTTAAAAGTAATTGTTGGTCAAAAGATCCATGCCAAGATATGTGGTACTCATGAAAATACTGATTATTGCGTTTTATAACAATTAATTATATATTTGGATTTCAACATATTAATGGGCCACTTTGAATTTGAAAGACTCAAAATTTGAGCAAAAGCAGGTGTATCTGTCCGTATTTGTATGTAGTCATAGGTGTATTTGTATACTTAAATATTTGAAGTATACAGCCTTTTGCAAAAATTATGAGAATTGTCTAAATATCATAATATCCATATCCATATATTGTCCAGAACACGCGGGTTTTCTAGAATAATAATTCATTGTTGACATCGAGAAAATGTTCAGAACTACGGTTAAGTCTGTCGCCAAAAAATAACTAAACTACAAAGACAAGGGACTAAGGGCATCGCGCGGGATTACCCATCATGCACTTGATATTATGATATTTAGATATTTTGACAATTCTCATAATTTTTGCAAAAGGCTGTATGACAGCATATATGCTTAACCTTGTTCTTTTCTTTTTTTAGCTAAAAGTTCTCCACTATTTTTTTCTTAAAAAAATCTTTATTGGGCATTGAGTTATAATATTTACTTTATCCAGCTTCAAAATATAGTAAACACACATAGTTTAAAAAATATATTGTCAGGTTATATCTAAGGCTATGACCAATAAGGAACATGGGAATGCAAATGAGAGCTTAAGGGTGAGTGTAACAATGTTTCTTTTTCCAAGCACTTTTTGCATGCTAAACAATCGTCACCTTACATGATTCAAAATATCCTCTTTGGTCTTTTGCTTTCAGGATTTCATCCTTATGAAGCTGACAACATAGCACTAGAGTAAACTGACAAAATCTATGGAAACAGTATATTAGCAATTGAATTGGTGTTTTTTTTAATTGTGTTACCACTGAATTAAATGTAAGCATGTACAAGTATAGATATCCAGATAGCTAGCTAGCCTGCGTAGCTGCATGCTTTACTAGCTGTTATCTCTTTAGAATTGCTAGGAATGGCAGACTATGCAGACAAAAGGTTACTTTGACAACTGTAAAATCTTGTCAAATGATATCTTTATAATTCTCAAATTGTACATTGCTTACATTGTTTTAAGAAAATTTATATTTTTTAAGAACAAAAAGTCATTTTCCTTAAGTATGTATAGCTTTTCAATGCAAGTAATAATGTGATTTATAAATGAAAAGTCTTGTTCTGTCAAAAACAATTACAGYGTGTAAATATTGAATGGAATACTAATTAAATTAAATGTTGAGTCAAATATATCCAGTTTGTTAGTGCAAGTCACCTATGATTATATAATAATGTACACAGAAATATGTCAGTCTACAGGGACTATTCATAGTTTCCATAAACCACATCAATGTCATGACAATTCCTATTTACAGAGAGTGTCATCTAAAAGGGGAGAGACGAAAAATGTGTCTGGTTTCATTTRTACTAAACCTACTCGGRGTTAAAGACTTTCTTTCATTGGATTTTGAATGGTCTTCAAATGTAATACTGCCTTGGCTCAAATTCCAACCCTCTCAATAACATGATTAGGCCCTTTCTTCACCTAGGCTCCACATAGTTTGCAGGGAACAACCCATATTTTCCTGTACGTTGAACTCGTCCTTCTAGCCAGCCATCATCAATGCGATGAACATTATTGATTGTATCTCCCTCAAGAATGGTCACTTCATCAAAGTCATTTGCTGTATAATCGTATATAGCAACATATGTTGATGGCTATGATAAAACAAAATATGAATTTTTGTGATTCATTATTAGCATATAGAAATGTGTGTCACTTTGTATTGGTCTTATAATTTCAGGGCAGCTAGTAACCAAAAACAATAGCCGACTTGCAAATTTAGAAAACAATAGCCGACTCGCAAATCAAGAAAAAGGAATCATCTTTTTATTTCTTTTATGTTTGAGGCTGGAGTGGAACATGCAAATTGGCTATTCTGTGATATTCAGTGTTCATGATTTGATAGGAAAAAAATTAAATTTGTAAACAATTTGCAAATTTAAACCATGCACTTACAGGTCTTGTTCTTGAAACTGGTTGWGGTACAGTCTGATGAGAATCGCGTCCTATAACACACCATTACACCTTTTTAAAATGACTTTGCCAAACCCTYTTTCAATTGCTTAATTCCAGGTTTTAATTATTAAGGGAAGAGCCATAAAGACACCCTTCTGTATCAATATTGGTTTCTATTCTTATTTAAAAGTTTGAAATATTATACACTCAAACTTTTGTACAAATTGTCTTCAATTTCAAAAATAAGTTATTTGCACCTTCAAAAAAAATAATATATAATGCACTTTCTTGAAAGCCCTCAGGTCCACAACTGAAGTACATTGTTTACCTACCCTGATGATGTGGTCCATGCTCATTCCGGTATGCWACGCCACTTATATTTTGAGAAACTTTCATATGTCTCCTTGTCTCAGGATCATCTTCAATGGCAGTGTAAGAACCCTTTTCTTTATTGAATTCCTTTGTATATTCAATCTATGAAAACAATAATTAGTTCATATAAACTTGGATAATGAATATAATGTGGAATATTTCTAAGGATTAGCCCTGGAAATTTTGAAACTTAATATGCCTTCTTATGACCCTTAAGACAGAACTTCAACACTGCCCCCTGTCCCTCTGCACACCCATCCCAACCACTACAGCAATACCTACTTGACTTTGCTGCCTTGTCTGCTGTGCCAAGCGACGATTCTCTACTGTGTCAGCCACCTCAGTGTGTCTTGTTGTAGGATAATGCCTGAGTTCATAAATAGTCACAATTTTTTTAGTTTATCTAATACACTGTGTGGAAATTTTCCATGGAATTTTGTGGTTGGAGGATAGCTAAGTAACCTTTGGGAATTATATTTCGTTTTTGGTCATCRCACCTTGAATAGTTTATGTCTTCAATAGACTCCTCATTCTGCAATATGTAAAATAAATTTGACCGTATAGTTTTTTTTGAACAGAGGCTTTGGATACTCCCTGACAGAACTGTGAATTGAGTTCCAAAGTCTTACACYGGCTCTAGAGAAAGAGTTAAGTTGAGAGTTTAACCTGAAGGGCTTAGTAAGAAATTTGTTGGCAGATGCCGAGTGAATGGCAAGAGTAAGTCTCTCTCACAGTGGAAAACATCTCAATTATGTTGCTTGGGCACATTCCATTAGAMACATCATGAACTAGGTTTGACACCGCTTGGCATTACATTAAGTTCAAGGGGGGGGAKCATTAGATTTAATAAAGAGTGGGATCTCATTGGTTTCTAAAAAAGATAAATCTGATCACTCTTTTTTGCAAGCGAAGAAGCTTGCATGCTTAAATATGACTGAGGGGCTTGTCCCCAAGCGACAAACCATAGTTTAAATAAGGATGTATTAAAGACTAGTAAAGGGTTAATAAGGTAATGTTGTTGAGGAATTGAATGGCGAAGCTTGGAAAAAAGTCAGATTGTTTTACTAACTGTTGAGCTAATATAATCAATGTTATTCTTACAGCACAGGCGACTATCAATAATTAGGCSCAGGTATTTAATTTTGTTTGTTGTCCAAATCTAAAAGTTGTCCTGTTGATCATTGTAACACATTAGTTTAATGCTTATACAGGTATCAACCTTTTTTTGGAAGGGACTGAATATAATAAAGTTAGATTTTTTGATATTTAGAGTTAATTTATTAGCTGTTAACCAGTTGCAACGATTAGATAGGTCAGTATTGACGATAAGTTGAAGTGATTTTAGATTTTAATGGTCATAAAGCAATTTGGTGTCATCAGCAAAAAAGAAGAATTTTAGTTTGTTAGATGATTTAACAATATGTCATTGATGTATAATAGAAAAAGTAGGGGTCCTAGAACGGAACCTTGGGGAACTCTGTATGGGTTAATTTCTTTGGAACTAATGCAACAATTATCTTCAGTGAACCAGTCATTAAACAACCAGTCGTTAATCAAAATTCAGGTTAACTGATTATGGTGTCGATGGAGTGAAGTCAACAAAACCCGTGAAATAGAAAGTACACAATACACCTTAGTACATCTCTGCATTGCTTTCTTCAGTGTCAATGATTATCACACTTTAGAGTRCAAAAATATTTCCCGTGTTGCTGATCGACGAAAAAGAAATGTTGCAATATCGACACAAKCTTGAGATATCRAACAATTTGATATTTAATTACTAGCAATATTATATAAGTTACTTTTATTTATTTAACAAATAGATCTCATTTTTCCGTGCGTGTGTACTCTAATAGATACACAGATGAYGTCAAAATGTAGTGAGAACAAAAAAGTACGCACGAGACGCAGTCGAGTGCGTGACTGTTGTTCTCACTACATTTTGACGTCATCTGTGTATCTATTAGAGTACACACACACACACGGAAAAAAGAGATCTATCTGTTTTATACAACAAACAATTAGTTTTGACGTAATCCGTGTATCTATACTTTGATAACACACGAAAGCCAACCAATCCAAACGTCGGATTTTACTGAAAAGTTGTATAAATACTGTTAATGATAAATTRTACTTACGCCTGACAGTAGGGATACCTATTATATCCCTTGTAGTTCTTCAAATTTAGGGTCATATTGCATACGGTGCACTTAAAGCARCCTTTATGCCATATCTAAGAGAGAGAAACGTACATGTAAATTGTTATTTCGTTGATGTTGATGTTGAACCAAAGTGTACTATGTGGTTTRCATGGAAAATATATAATTTACGTGAATTAATATCGTCAGTCAGATGTTAAAACATCCTTTTGCTTTTATTCTCTCTCTAACGTCGAAAACCAGCGACGCAGAACCAATATTTTGAATGTGTGTCAAAATTATCAAGSTAGTTAGCATGAAAATTCCTTGTACTGTTCGAAAATGTTTGAGAGTAATTAAAAAACTATCAGTGGGTAGAAATGTAAACAGTTGAACCAGTTATGCATGTTTGTATATCTTCACAAAGAACGAAGTTGATGATGGTAGACGTTCTCCACATTATTGCATTCGCTGATATAGAAATTTAGATTTGTATTTTTTTAAATTTTCAAAGCAGCTAGGCAAGCTACAATAGCTAGACACCGTGATTGACAAAGACCTTTGACAAAAACGTTTCGATTACAACAAAGCTCTCGAATAAGATATATTATGTTAATGGTTGAAAAATTACCCAATATTCTTTACCTTGTCAAGGCAATTGAACTTTTCCACCGGATAAACTATTTTGGCGCATTTTGCACATAGTTGATTCATAGYTCACGACTTAACCAACGTTTGTAGTCATATAGCAAGCGCACTTTGCGACTGAACGTTGTTGTGACACACTCATGAGTGACATCCAATAGTGTCGGGGTGTTCCCTATTACCATATTCAGCTCATGAAATTAAAATATATGGTAAAGATATCTGCATATTATCACTAACGACAATCAAAATACTTTTAATAGAACTGCTWTCAAACTTTTCGCATGTGTTGCAATTTTTGATCACGATTGGTTAGCTAAATACCACTATCGAATTATGAGATTCAATTGGCAGCTTAATGAAATTTTCGTTCTAGATGCGATATCTATTCCTGGTTGGGTTTCTTAAATGAAATGCAAGCCCTTGAGCTTTTGCTTTCTTAGTGTCAGGTATATAAGAAAGTCCCAGCAGCATCAGAGTGAAAATAAAATATACAAGGTCTCCCATCTCTCTATCCGTATTAAAGCATTTGCGTAAAAAAGAAATGCCATAACTACTCAGATAAAAATCATCAAGACTAATGTTCACAATGATAACATAATTATAAAAAAATACATTTATTCCAGTCTGTCTACTTAAAAGTAGTTCCAACATTATTAATATTCTTGTCATAAAAATTCATTCCATTCCAGGAATCTCAGTAACAATATGATAAATAGCAGCATTACAACTTTCAAGAAATCAACAATACCAGTAAAGTCTATTATTTCAACATGAATAGAGATGTGGACTTCATATGATTGAYAGCAACAGTATTATTAGTTTTCTTTGTGCATAATTTTATAATTCATACATCAAAAGGGCGGAGGGGGTGGAGGTGGCGGAGATTTTGGTTCTGGTTCTGGAGGTGGGGGTGGGGGTAATGACTTTTGCCTCCCACCTACATTGAACCCGGCATACCCCCCTACATACAAAGGTTGTACATCAGATGGTGGGGGTGGAGGAGGTGGGGGTGGTGGTGGTAGAACATCCTTCTCTGCAGGGGGTACTGGTGGTTTAGAACTAAGTCTTGACTTGTCTAATAGTCCAAGAGTAGGTGACGGAGGAATTAATTTAGCATGGTGTTGGTTTTGATGGACCTTATGACTTATTGAGTGGTGTTGTTTTGAATGACTGGAACTTTTATGTGATGARCTATGGCTGGGTTTACCATGATGCTTTACTCCTGGTGATGAAGAATCTGATGAATGTGAAGATGATGTCCTTTTATGGGCTGAATGTGATCTAGATGAATGATGTGAAGACTTATGTTTCTTTGAAGGAGTTCCTTCTTCATGAGAACGGTGTTTATGTTTGGAGCCTGAAGACACTGTTGTATTGGTAGAACTCCTTTGAGTACTGGTAGTTGAYACTTCAGATTTTGTCTGACTAGCTGTTGTAGTAGCAGCAGCATATTTAGTGGTTAAAGGAGGTAGTACTGGAAGAGTGACAACAGTGGTTGACGTAGCTACACTAGCTCCTTCTGATGTAATGGTACTATTAACCTCCATGTGATTGTTCTCTTCTTGTTTATCTTTTTTGATCTCTCTTGTGTGTTTGTCATTCTTGCTAATATCCTTAATTTTTTTACTAATGTCATTTACTATACTATCATTATTACTATCATAGCTATCATGTGATTTTGATAATCCTGGCCCATCATTGGTTCTTAGAGGTCTTGGAATTGTATTTGATCCCTACAAAGCAAAACAGTCAATTATTCACTGTGATTATAACACTCACACTGCACTACACCAGTGATTTTGCAATTAAACATTATTTGTAGCCTCCTGCTTTGATTAACTTGCTCACATGATGAAACTMATATGGTTGAATAGGGTTTTTCTTAATCTTTCTCTGTTGGGTGGGAGTAAAAAYGAGASAGTTTAGCATTAGGGCTTAATGATTGTTAGTAAGAGCACAATCGTTTTTCTCCATAGAACAAAATACAATTCTACCATTCTACCAACCTCACGATGTTCCAACAATATTTATCACTATTCATTGTTACACAAAATGACTTACTATAGTGATAGAGTTGATTTTTCTCTTTAATTTACTTGGACATTTTTCAATTATATTGATAAATTCTTGTGCTATATCTGTAAGGAAATATCATGAGAAGCAATTATTGAAACATATCAAAGATCTGAAATATAATCAATGAGTACGTACCATCAAGTAATTCTCTAGTGACATCAGCATGCATGTACTCCCACCAGTGTTTATTGTCATTTGATGGAGGAATCTGTAAAAATACGACAAAAATAATACAGAAAAGACTTACATCCTATTGTGTATCATTTGTTGAGTTTTAAAGTGTATTGAGGAGAGTACTTCTTGCACTTTTCAAGTATTCTGCTAAACCCTAATTGCAATACAATTCAATAAAGCAGTGACGTTTATATATTGTTGGGCATTTATAAAGCAACCCATCAACCAATAAGTGCAAGCCTTAGGACAAGAATAGTTATTAAAAAAGCACCAAACAATAGGAAATAGGATATATGGCACCACCGAGAACAGCACTGAGTAAAACTGTTTATAACAGCAAACTGTGTCTTCATCATATTACATTTACCTCATAGCTGCACCATTTGCATGCCAAGTGGATGCAAGCACAAGCAACAACTGTTGGCTTGTATTGTAAGCATAATGTTGTTAGGTGCAAGCTRTAGAACACAAGTATATGAAATAAATACACTTCTGTAATTAGTGATGCAATTTGATTAGCAATAAAGAAAAAACATGGCAAAGCTTTTTGCTTGCGCTATATCTATAAAATAATATTAAATAGTTACTACATAATACCTAAGTACTACAGAACAGTCATAATTACAATGAATGCTGTACATAAGAGGAATTGAATAAAGGAAATAATACCATGTTATAACTGATCCACTTTAGTGATAGAGCAGATTTCGTATGACTGTGCAAAAATCACGRAACTTCCGTGCAGTGACTGTCCCGTGCCATAGCAGTGATGTATTGTTAAATCTTTATTTKTATTTCGAATCCTAGAAGGGCTTCTCATTAATTGAATATTTGTCCAAATAATCTGTAACTTGGAAAATACACTAAAGTCGATAAAGTCTTTTTAGTGATATGGTTAGTTTTTAAATTGGCTCAATATGACAGAAATTTTTCATAACTCCGGAATGGCTAATAGCTCTAACACTGTCACTGCTAACTTATTCCTCCTCTTTGCTAGAATATGTGTTTATACTGTAGTACTTACCTGTTTGTAGCCATGAAATAGGATGCTTGACCAAGGTCCTTGCTTGCTAAGAGAAAATAATAATAAAACATGTAAGACAATTTGATCACATGGGCATAAAAAATGTTGTTGAATACTTACCTCTGACTAACTGGATAGCTTTAACTACATAGGTGTGTGGATGATGAACAGTAACCTCAAAACCTGTTAAATGTGAAATTAGAAAAAAAAAATCATATGTATATGTTTTATACTAAAATGTTGACTTCATGGGAATTTACAATATACCTAAAGATTGAAGTAAAATACTTTCATTTTCAATAAGATCTTGAGCTTGCTGTAAATACTCCTAAAAAATAACAAGATTATATCTTCCTTGGTAAACATCTACAGGTACCATCTTAACACTTTAATTAACATCACGATGTATTTTGCTTTGCCATATTATCACATTCATTAATAATTTAGCCTGCGTGGCGATTCTAGGGGAGGGGGGAAGGAAGAAAACGGAAGGGGAGGCAGTGGGAAGGCGGAGCGGAAAAAAGGAGAGCCTGCCAGAACGAGCTGCTAAATCGTGTACTCGCGGCCTCCAGAGGCCACGCTTCCTGATTGGTTTAAATCAGCACAGTGATYRACGTTTTTAATTCGCTGTCAAAATAACGATATCCATGCTATTTCAGTCGAATTTATTGATCGCTAGATTGAAAAGTCAGTGAGGGAAAACTGTGATCTTGATCGTCCAACAAGTTGTGTGTATCTCTGTTGGATAGGCTATATAGATTCGGATTTTGTTTTTTGTCATTTTGTAAAGAGTAGCATAAGTAGCTACAGGTTTTAAAATAGCATCTGTGAATGTGTATTCTACGTACAGCCGAACCTTTCAGCCGAAGTTCAAAGAGTCTTTATACTAGAAAGATGAAGGTCAAATGTCATAACGTGCTTTGTTRAATTTGCAGGACAGTCTCCCGTAGTATGTTTGCTTTTCGAAAGGCGCTTTGATTTACCTGTACCTGACGGATCTTACAAATCTTATACAATTGTTTGGTTTCRGTAGCAGATTTTGCGTGAGTAGTAAGCATTAACGGCATATAACGCTCGAACTATAAATAAAGCTGGTAATAATTTGTTAAAAACGAAGGTGACATACACAACATGAAATTGACAAGTAATGAACCATTTCCAGTTCAATGACCTCTAGTAGGCGGTACATGATTTAGCAGCTCGTTCTAGCAGGCTCTCCTTTTTYCCGCTCTACCTCCCACCCCCTCCTGTTCCGCTTTCTCCCTCCCCCCCTCCCCTAGAGCCGCCACACAGGCTATACATGTATAAATTCAAAGTTTGCAGTTTTAAATGCCCATAATGGTCTAAAATTGTCTTGAATATACTTAGCTTGACACTATATACATGTATGTGTATTGAGCACTCTTTAATGGGATCAGCTACTTCCTCATATGATAATATATAATATATGATACATACCTCACTATTGGTATCCAAAGGTGGTGCACCTCGATGTAAACATGCATGGGCAACTCTAATTACGTGTTCCAACTTACGGGGTTGTTCTTCAACTTTGGCTGAGAGAAATAGACAACAAGGGGCCATAGCCTAAAACATCAAATATAACCGTGCTATATCACACTAAAACATGTTGTATCATATTGCATCACTAATAACACAAATACTAAAGCTAGAAGTTTGTGTTTTGTCATAATTTTTTCTACTTATAATAAATATATTATGTATAGGCATGAGGTCAATTTACAACATGGAATTGACACTGAGTGTTGACATGTCAACTTAGCAACAAGGGCTGTGATCAAATATTATGTATCCTAACTTAATCTTTTCCTTAGATAGAAAACAAAGTTCTAATGTATTTAAGACGATAGACATGACTGGTATTAACATAAAAAAATTGATACACTGGTAGCTAGACGTGTCATTTCACGACGACGTTGATATGAAACATACAGTAAAGCTTAAAGTATACTGAACCTAAGAATCAATATTGAATTGTTGTGAAATAATTCTCCTGCTAGTGCACAATCACTTTCTTATATGTATGATCAAACATAATTCTTACATGGCGATGAAATCTGGTAAAGGGATAAAACATATAAAAACGATGCATATAGACAATAGACGTGTTTATAGTCAGCTGAGAACTGAAAMGTTCGTCGTTAAGGATCACAAGAGAATACTTCAATGTCGAGTAAATAATGCTA